CCCCAAAACCCCAAAACCCCAAAACCCCAAAACCCCAAAACCCCAAAACCCCATTTTTGGAAGAGAATGTTGAGAAATTATAGAGGGGTGTTTATGGGGGGTGTTTAGAGGATAGGTTGTTTAGTAGAGCTATCTTTGCCTTTAAGGAATCGATCAGCATTGTATCGACTTCATGAGTTTGTTTCATTTTCTCCTGCTCACTTTGATTTTCTAGTATCCTCTCTTCTATTAGAAGTGCTTTTCTAGTAACTTCTTTAGCCTTATGATGGATTTTGTAAAAATCAAAATTTTTGCCTCATTCTCGTAAGCCTATAAATTATTACATGGAATCCTTTACATTTATTCCTAAGCTTCCATCTGCTAGTAGGCTTGATCTCTCGCTCAATTCTTCTCTGCAAGAGATAGTCACAAGTATCAATCCCATTATTCTTGACGTGTAAGCTTCTCTTGCTAGCACTTGTTTGTACAGAAGTCTTTGTTGGCTTAACTCTCCGGTTACTCAGTCGCTTCAGAAACTTATTATACCCGCTATCTCTCTTCAGACTCCTGCCAAGATGCTCTACATCTCTGTAGCTATTAAATTTGGTCGCTAGAGCTGACTTAGTCAATGAAAATAAGGAGTCACCTACCTCTTGGAGGTTTTTCATTAGTATGACTTCTTGTCAAAACAGGGTTATTCATAATCCTCCTAGAGACCTTCCCTGACTTTATGTTTTCCATGCTCTTTTGAGCGATATAAGCCTATAATCTAGGGTCAGAGTGGTCTAGAAAGCTACCAAATCAATCAAAATGAGCATGAAATAGAACTTCTAGCAACCAGCTTACATTTTCCACATAAATATTCGGAGTATGCGACTTCTGGAGCTTCCTTCTTTGATCAAAACTATTCCTGGAGTAACTCATTTGAGAACTAAGATCTTTATTAATCTTTCTTTTCTTCTTGCTCAGCTTGTACCTCAATCTAGTAAAATCTCCTTGGCCAACAGGAGTATTTTTACTTGGAGATGCACTATTTCTATAAGCTAGATGCATACCTCTTATTAGCTGTTAGTCGAATCTTCATACTTCTCATCTTGAAACCTCCTGCGGCACCTTTGTTCCTAGATTTAGGCAGTTTCTTAATAGAAGGGAAGGAGATGTTCGTATGAATATTCTGCATTATTTTCTTAGAATCTATATCCTGATGAATTCCTTGCTTTTTCCCTATAAGGATTATACCAGGATTTACTTTCATTCGATCTGGTGATAGCTGCACTTATCTGGTCCTTTAAGCTAGATATCTGGCTGCTGGTATCGTTGCGGCTCTTAATCTCACGCTGGCGCTTCATGAATTGTTGGAGTTTAATATCATTTATCCTTTGGGCTTCCTGGTATTGTTTCCTCATTTTTTGTTGCTTCTTTTTAATTCGTTTGAGTTCATTATTCCCATGAGATTCTTCACCGCGAGAAGAGTCAGTAGCTTTGGTGAAGTACTTATCCTTCAAGCTTAGATTCAGGCCTTGACTTTGTTGCAAATTTCGTAATAATTTCCCATAAGGACTACGAGTGTTACTATCTGATTCTGAAAATTCCTGTGAGCGTTTCTGGCAATAGTCGTTTTGGTCTAGATATGAGTTATTAAATTTATTTAAAAGATCACATGATGAGGCTTGAAAAATGTAGTGAGGGATGTAGGAGTTACTTCAAAAAACTTACCTGTCTGAGATTGACTTAGTTCCTTTCCATTATGAGCCTTCTCAAGTGCCTCCTGAATCTGCTTTATTGAATGGGGAAGTATTCTCATCTTTCTATATTTACCATTCGAATGAGATTTCTTGACTAATCCTAGCATTGATTCAATCTCTTTCCTTGAGAGCCTGCTAAATACAGTATGATACATAGTTTTGTTCAATGAATCATAAAGGGTGATCTCTTCGCCTGCTCTTTGACCATCATCTCTGATTTGGATGTCATGACTTTCCTTAGTAGTATCATTGAGTATTTCTTTGGCATGCTCCTCTAGGTCAAATTCAATAGTTGAAATATTACAGTAAAAAGTGATTCCTCATACTTCAGCAAGTTTTTTCAATAGTTCTCTTTTGGCAGGAACACTATTGCTCTCTATTGCATTGCTCAGCTTGCCATCATTAGAATTTTTATCTAAACCTTCAATAGCTATATTTTTCTGTGAAATATTTTGATTAATGCTGTTCAGTGCCAATCCTGATTTCCTTCCAAGATTCGAAGTATTAAGCTCAGACTTAGAGTCCTCTAACTTCTTAGACCTTTCCTCTATAGCAAGTTTAGAATCTTCAGAACTTTGCTGTGACATTTGGAAATTATTATTTACAAGAAATTAAAGGGGTTTTGGGGTTTTGGGGTTTTGGGG